CACTAAACCATGTCCCTAAGTGCCACGTTTTTTAGACACCTCCAGGGATGGTGACGCAACCACTTCCCAGAGCAGCCTGTTCCAGTGCTTGACAACCCTCTTGGTGAAGAAGTTTTTCCTAAAATGTTGTACCAGTCATGGTGCATGTATGACTTGTCTGTTTCCTAGGGAAGACAACCTTAACAGGAAATGGAAAGGAAGCAGCAAAAAAACTCCATTACCTAACTTTAACAAGAGTGAAGGAAAGGTTTTAGTTATAAAACTATCCTAAGGAAATGTAACCACAAAGCGTACGTTATGTGGCAAAAATTTACATACAAAGAAACACAACAAACTACATGACCCATGAGCAACAACCCATAACGGTAAAATCAGGTTCTGCCTGCTACTTATAACCGATGAAAATCCCCCTGTCTAAAGGACGGGGTCAAAAGAGGTGGTTGATAGCTTTCAAAGATTACAGGTTTTTATCAGGATATAAAAATCAGTAAGACAAATGTCGGTAGGTTAGACTAATAATCAAGGTTAAACAGTTTGGAATGCCTGTGGGATGTATGAAGAAATACAGATAGCTAACAGGAGTAAGAGGACCTTGTGAGACTCAAATGACCAGGCTCACAAGATTCTTAATTCATACAAATCATAAATAATAAACAGACAAATCACAGTATTGACTTAAGTCTTCCTTATGAAAAGGACTTGGCTACTGCGAGTACTCTGAGAGGAAATCCCCATCCCCCAAACTAATTTTCTCTTCAGTGTCTCCCTAGCACGCAACCTGTCACAGACATATAAAAATGGTATCATTCTAGCAGAAATTCCTTAAAGGAGCTACATCCTGGCCTGAGTACATGCATAGACCTTGGGCTTGAAGGCTTCACCTAAAGCAGACAAGAATTCTCCTTGTTGGAAGGCAAGAACAAAACACCAGAAATTAATCTCAAGACACCTGAACTATTCCAGCTTGAATAGAATAATAAGGCTATCCACCCTCATAAAAGTTTGAATTGTCACAAAAAAACACTGCCTCACATCTGGGAGGCTGTGTCAGCACCTGTGTCACCAATTCTCCACCATTATGGTGGCTCTTCCTCAAATGCCATCCAATTAAGAGGGCCTACCTCAATATCTAAAACCCTTCACCAAACTAATATAAGGTTGTATAAAACTCCAGTCACCTTCTCTTTGTAGCCACAAATTACAGTATGTGAGTTATCAACTCACATGAACAAAGAAGAAATAGTCAAAAAAGATAGGGTCAGAAGTGATGGAAATCAAGTCACTATCAGAACACAATCTGAATGAGACTTATTCCTCACAGAAGTCATACTTCATTATATTATAGATCTGAGCTCTTTAAGAAATGAAAGCAAAACAGATAACGAAGCCTTTACAACTTCAATAAAGTATGCCAATAACAGGATGCTAAAAGAAGAAAACGAGAGGGGTTTAAATGTGCATGGATACACACAGAAGCAAATACAAAATTCCACTTTTTCTTCTGAAGTATGGGAGACAAAATATTTTTTAGGTTTTGGTGTTTGGTTTCTAGTTTGTTTAAGCGCATGTGCATATATGGTATATGAAATGCAGAGATGTATAAATACTAACTCGTCAAAAGCAGAGAGGAATAAAGGATGACCTTATTCCACTCCAATCAGTTAAGAATTTTTTTGAAATTGAAGATGCAGTAATAGCAAAACTGCTTGATTCCTGAAAGAGTTTCCACTCATCAGATTCCCAGCTGATTAGCACTGTGCAGCATGTTCATTTTCTCCAGCAGATGCTTCCGATGTTCATTACGAAGAGCTCCTGCTAGAATACTGCTCCGGTTCCAAACCAGGCTTAAGAAGAAGAATTCTGCAGACACTTTAGTAATAACGTGACATAAATGAAAATACTATCAGAACCTGGATTTTTTTATACTCATCATATTGTTTTTCTTTCCACCATCTATTTAAAAGACTAAGCATAAGACTAAGTCAGACAATCTGTTGACAAATAACCATACAGTAATGTTTACCGCTGAATCTCCCTAATCACTGCTTTTCCTATCAATAAAACTGAACTAATTCTCCCATTCTCTCATGAAACACTAAGACAGCCTTCTTTAGATCTCAGTCCACTAAAAACATGAGCACAACATTCACCTAAGCCTTCAAAATACCCACCACACAGCTAATCATCAAGTTACTATATCAGTGAAGGGCAGTTAATGCCAACAATTCCTGAAGTTCTATTAAAATTTTAGAGCCAAGATGAGGAAGAAAACTGCATACTAACCTATTTTATTAAACAGAAGCAAAAGCAGAGTGAATTTATTATATGACAGCAGCATACAATGCCAAAAACATAACATTGCAAATGAAATTAAAAAAAAAAAAATTCAAACCTGATGGGAAATAAGTGGTGCTAATAAAATTCTACATGTTGTCTGAAGCACATAAATTAATGGTATAATGCTTTTTTTTTTTTTTGGGGGGGGGGTGGGGGTTGGGGGTGGGAGGAAAAAGGATGTTGGGGTTTTTTTTGTTGTTTTAAACAAGGGAAAGGAACAGAATCTGCTTGGAGTAAGATGAGTTAAAATCGGAGAGCAATTGTCTTTATTCTAAATCATTTTAGGAATTCAGAATACTTCATTACTTTGCCAGATTCTATTTCATGAGGCAGATTAAGGATTTTAGATGATTTTCACCCAGTGTTGCTGTCTGCTTCCTAAGTTTTAGGCAGTTTAGTTTTGGGAGCTTAAGCAACCTGATCTTCTTATGTTCAGTATTCAGTCACTTTGGTTTTCAGCATCTTTCCAGTCCAGGCTGTATAAGCTGCCTTCCTCCTGGACAGCAAGATGGATTTATCACCCAGAAGAGAAGCAGCATATGTTCTTATTTAATCCTTACTCTGTTTGCACAAAATAAATCCATATTCTATATAAGAGCAACAGAAAACAGTCTGCATACGTTAAATTATGAAGAACAGACATTCCTTTTGCTAAGCATACTGCTCCATGGGCCATTTTGAGAGTAAACTATTCCCTACATCATCTCATACAGGTAAAGAGGAGGAAGTAGTACTGAAAGTTAGTTTATATGTAACAAAACCACCAGAAAAAGAGGTGAAGGGGTTTTTTCCTACTATTAGGCTTGGTACAGCCACCAACAATTATGTGAACTGTGGATGTTGCAGTAAGCAGAGTTTCTCATGAAGAACAGTCAGAGTCATTACACAGAGATGAAGGAAAAAGGTAAATCATGCATTCAGACTAAATTGGACTCAGTGTCCTCAGGCAAAATGGCTTCAATAATAAATAACAAGAACTAACTGGTTCCTCCTTTTTTGAAAGCTTTTCACTATTTTATTAAATGGCAAAAGTATTCTGAAAGAATTGAGATCACCTCATTGATTTGGGAGTAAAGACATACCCCTAGTCTGCAAACAACTTAATTTTTGTCCTCAGAAGGACAGTGTTTGAACAGATACAGTACTAGACATTGCTTCCACCCTACTTGCACAAGGCTGTTTGCTGAGATAAAGCACTTGCACTGCACTAAGTCAAAATTCATTCCTGTATTTAGGATTATGAGTCATGCTGTTGAAAAAGCTATCATACTATTTCATGGGGACAAGGTGACAGAGCTTTTTAAACAAATAAGACTGTATACTAGAACAACATGAATCTCAAGAGTAAGCCTTAATTTAAAAAGTATTCTATTCTTGCTGCAGTTATCAAGAAAGACTGATGCATCACGATCATTCTCCCAAGTTTACTGACCACAATGCCAGAAAGATAAATATGCACTCAAAAGATGAGATTGGTACTATCTGGAAAAGATGGAACCTACATTCACTATGTTAACAGTGAGTAAAGCCTCTGCCAAGATTTAGTTCCTCAAAACTGAGTGCCATTTATTCTCCTCATAAATACATTAAAAAGTAAGTTTACTTTAAACAGTTGCTAAAACCCAAGGAAGACAATAAAATGGGACCCCAAAATTCTTCTTTAATGTAGGTTCATACACCTATGCAATCACATGAGGTCAGCCACTGCATTTTACAGAAAGATAAATCCCTATGATAGAGCCACAAGATGATGTTGATGTGCAAGAAATACTGAACCTGACAAATGAAGAGCATTGTTAATTTCAATCTCCATGCACCTCTGGCAAAAAAAAAAAGTAGTAGACATGGCAGACCGAAGCACAGTTGGCACAAAGATGACAGTTTTCAGGAACCTTTTTCTCCAATTCGCTTCCTAGAGGCTTACAAAGTCTGAAGAGGAAAACAAAACCAGCATCGGGCAGAACCAAGAGCTTGCGAATCGCATCTTAAGGGGCAGATTTCAACAGACTTTTGCCCAAGATTCATCCTCCCATCCACGGCAGAGCTTACCACCCGCGCTTCGCTAAAACCTCTGCCAAGCGCTGCTCTGTCCCTCCGAGGCGCGCCTGTCCGTCCGTCCGTCCTCCCCGACACACGGCGGGCGGCCACCGCCGGGCTCCCAGGGGCCGCCCCCCACCCCCGGAGGCACCTCCCGGGCCCCGGCCCCGCTCAGGGGGGCGGCGGCCGCCGCCCGGGGAGCCGCTCCCCGCCGCCGCGGAAGGTCGTTACGCAAGGTGACGGGGGCGGCCGGGCCGCGGCAAGGACGGGCCCCGCCGCAACCGAAGCGGCTGCCCCGGCGATCCCGCCCCGCCCTCCCGTTCCGCACCCACCGCCGGCCCCGCGGCCCCTGGGTAGGGCCGGATCCCTGAGGGGCGCGATGTAACCTGGGGGGGGGAAAGGGGGGGGGGGGGGGGGGGCTGAGGACACCGCTCTCCCTCACGGCCCGCGGCGGCCTGAGGGGAGCAACGGCGGCGCGCGCACATACACACGCGCACACACACACACTCCCACACACACACCCGCCAGCCACAGAGGGGGTGGGCGCGGCACCGCTCCCCACCACCACCACCACCACCACCACCACCACCACCGGAGCCGCCTCACCACCACCGGAGCCGCCTCACCTCCTCCGGCGCCGCCTGTGCGCAGCTCCCCGCGCCGGGAGCAGCGCATCGCCCATGGCCCCTCCGCGGAGGCCGGCGCGGGCTTGAGGGGCGGCCGCCGCGCCCGCTGTGGGGGCCGGGCCACCTGGAGGCGGGCGCCAGGGAGCGTCTGCAAACTGCCGGCCGCGGGCGAGAACGAGCGAGGGAGCGAGAGCGCGGCCCAGGCAGCGCCCGCCCGCGTGCAGGGCTGAGGCGAGGGAAGGCGGGGTGGCGAGCGCGAGCGCGCGCAAGGCGGCCCCGCCCGGCCGGAAGCGCCTGTGACAGGCGGAGGCTGAGCGAGGGAGAGTCTGCAAAGTGCCGGCTCTGGCTGCCGCAGCGGGCGGGAGGTGGAGGCGCGCCGCGCTGAGGGGGGCGAGCGGCCGCGGGTGTGAGGGGAGCAAAGCGCCTGCCAGCGGGCACAGGGCCGCTGCTCGCTGTGGGAAGGGCGCGGTGTGGAGCGACGCCTCGGCGCCCCTCAGCCTGGCGCTCCCGAGGGGCGGCCTCGATCCCCGCCGCAGCCTCGGCCTTGCGGCGGGCGCTTTCTCCCCTCAGAGCAGCCCGCGGCCGGCCGCGCTCCGGCCCAGCCCGCCGAGGAGGAACGGGCCCGGGAAGCGCCGCTGCCGCCTCACGGCGCTGGGCGGTTTGTCAGGCGGAGGACGGGAGAGCAGGGGCAGATAGACATGGCTGGAAGAGTGCTGGCGCCCCGAAACAGCTCCCCAAGAGCCCTCGTCTGCCTTCCCCGGGCTCATCCACCAAAACCTTCGCGGCCCCGACGAGTACGCAAGGTTAGGCGCGGATCTCGCCTCTGGTAGCTAGTTGCGGTTTTGGCTGCACTAGGTGGGTGCGTTACATCAGCTAACATTTTTCTAAGCGTTAGACACACACAGGTATTTGTGCCAGGAGTTGTAGCGTCCTCCTCTACTTCTTAGGTTGTCTTTAAAACACGCTCTTTGGGAGACATTAGAGCAAAGGTAACATATTTTTGTAACGAGAGGATGATTATATTTTGTAGTGGAGAGAGTCACTTCTGGAGAATGGTGTTTTCCCAAGCCTGCATATACAGATTTAGGGGTTGCTCATAGAAGATAGGTGACATCTGGTGGCCAATCTTCCTCTCTGATGTTGATAGAGGCTTCTTCCATAAGGAGCAGATCAGGTTCAAAGTACAAAAATATGTTTCTGCTTACCTCTACAACCTAATATAAATTAAAGGATGAATAGGTACAGCTTGTAATAAGTTGCAGAACTTAATATCTGTTACAATGTTCTTCCCATGGCATGAATCATCAGAAAAGAATCATCAGAAAATGGTTACACACACATAAGCCAAAATCAAGTAAATAGGTATGGTTTTGGTGACAATTTAAAAAAAAAAAAAAATCTCTGCTGATGTTCAGCACTATTCATTTTGGGTTTCTCCACACAGGACAGAAAATTGTGATGTGTGACAATGCACGCTGAGGCGTTCTTGTTTACCCACAAGTATCTGCAATAATGCTGTGCAACTTGGAGTTTCACTTTTCACCCAGCATTATGCTGTGCTCCCAGTTGGAGACTCTCACTGGCATTAAGTGAGAAGTTACAGATTTGAAAATTTTACAAGGTGCTGAATGATCAAAGTCTTGGACCTCTTTCTGTGTAAAATGGGTAACTTTTAAAAAGATCTGCTTTGATTTGTGGAACAGGCTCTTGTCACAGGTGAAATAATGGTATTACAATGCTCTCATTCCTTTCCATTTATTATGCCTTTAATTTACAAAGCTCTCATGAAGGAGCTGACCTAACATTGCAGTCACTTTTGAGTTTGATATGTTCTGTTATAAAAATAATACATATCAGAAAATAACAACAGTGGTCTCCTAGCAGAGCTTCTTACTGAAGGGAACAGGAGATCTTATTATCTAGCAGTTCTCAAACTGAAGCGTACCAACCAGATCCTCCATTCAGAAATAGGAAGTTACCGTACATATTTTACAGTATGTATGTCTGACAGCTAAATGAAAAAACGTGGCAGAGGTGAGCAAACTGTGAGCATTGGTGAAGTGAAAACTCCATAGGAGAGTGGGCTCCCTGCTCGAGGAGTATTCCCTGAAGAAAGGTTAGGTTCTTGGAGCATTGGGAGCAAAAGACTAAAAGAAGAGGGAACATAAACCCCTGCAGCAATAAAGATTTAAGTGAATCTAAGAGTAACCTGGCACTTACATGTTTATTCCTCATTTAGCGAGTAACAAGTAGGCCACCAATTATTCAGATTTAGCTATCTCAGGCCTGTCCCACATTCAGCATGAAGCTCACACAGTTAAAGCAACCCCTATCCTTGTGCTCATTCTGTGCACATGGGAAGAGAATGTGGATGGAGGCCCCCAGTGAGGCTGATTAGGACCATGAGGGCCTGTTAACGCAATCAGGGCCTTGATGCTGGCATCTCATCTTGCCTGTTTGCTCTTTCCAGCTCCACCACTCTGCTTACTGATCCCATTGCCCTTGGGTACAGGGAGGAATGGCATGGCAGCGCTACACTGCAATTTAGGGTGCCTCCTAAGGGTGCCCTATCTGTTCAAGGATCAGCCAGGCAGCATACTTCCCTGAGGTAGTCACACTTCTCCGTGTGACACCACATGTGCTTCCCGAGTGTCACCACATAGCTGCCCTGAATACAAACACATTCTGCGAGCCACGGTTCAGTGATAAAAGAAGTTAAGTTGATAGGTCTGTTGGATGTGTGAAAACACCTAAACATTCTATAAGTCTGGGACAGAGGATCTTGGCTATATCAGTTACTAATTGAGAACTTTTGGATTACTCTGAGGTCTGTCTTATTAATGAGGAAAACTATTACGTTCTGGTAGATTCATTCAATATTGCACCTATTGATACTGTTTTCCTGCTTGATTTTGTGTCCAAAGGTTGTGGGTACAGTCCTGCCCTGAGAGGATAACAAAAATTTCCTCATGTGATTGTGTGCCAGTCACAGCTTTGAATTAGTAGAGAACTTGGGCGGACTAGGTTAAGAAGTCACGTCTATATTAACTTCTGCTGCTTCCTGTAAACTCAACATAAAAGGACAGAAGTAATCCTTAGAAGACATTGAATGCAGTGGGACTGCTTAAGGAATGTTTGTGTTGTGAGACCAATTCTTTTGCACTTTACTATACTGAATTTTGGAGAAATCTGATTGGGGACCAACAGTGGATGATAACCTAAAATGTAGATGCACAGAAGTCACCAGTGCTAACTCCAGAATTCCTTAATGTTACCTTTAAAATAGTGTACTTGTTGAATTTTCCATATGTTTGTTCAAAGAATAAACTACTGTAGTATGGAGAATGTGTCTAGAACACAGACGAATTCTGTGATTATTCACAGGCAATACCTACATAAACCTTTCCTTAGGGAGGTATGTGTAAACTGTGTTTCCTTTTGGCTTGTAATGCTGTATAACAAAATTACAGCACACATACCATAAAATTTAGCTTGCCTTTCCTAATAGCAAAATCTACTATTATGGAATATATATTACTAAAGAATATAGTTACAGACTGTTTTTATTATAGAAATCTCTTTCTTCTGAGGTAGACCACATCCAGCATTCCTGCCTTTGTTCCAGTGATAGCCCCTTCTTGTCTCGTCTCCTTCAAAGCCTTGTTGCCTGGTCTCTGTCCCTCTGCAGAGTTTCTTACTTCTTTTATAAAGCCACCATATGCTCCTCTGAGTAAGGGGTTAGTTGCTAGCTTTACAGATACTAAGTGGACTCTTCGGTGATAGGCTGAGTATTGTATTATTAATGTTGAATGTGACTTCAGTAAAATGAAAAAGGAGAAGAGGAAAAAGAAGAAGGAAAAACTGCAATTTGAACCAGCGATAAGATAAAAAAGACCTTCCTGAAAAGTATCTGTCACTTCGTTGCCAAACACAGTGTCTTGAGGATTCCAATATATGTGTTTAAAGGTTTCTGTTTGATGTCTCCCTCAGATTTATTGATACAAATGAATTTACTGCAAAATGATAACTAACTCCAACCTTTGTGCTGTAGATCAGAAAACTTACGTGGTCTTGTTCAAGAATGTATCTTACTTTTTTGTTTGACTGTTCTGATTTCTCAGGACCTCATCTATGGTTTCTGAAGTACATAATTCTGTCATATTCAACCCTAATAATATTTTGATCACAAAATGAAATCTTGAGTCACCCTCTCCCTCTCTTTTGCTCCTTATTCACAATTCAAAGTTGCTGTAGGATAACCTTGGTTTAACTCTGATTAAATATCAGAAGAGTAGGAAATAGAAAATGTTGCTGTCCTTTCCCCTTGTTCAGGTAAACCCCCTGTTTTTTTAACATGAGTAAGACTTTGCAGTTAGGCTTTAACTGTATCCTTCCCACCAAGTTTTTATGGCTATGAGAAAGTCAGATTTTTAAAAGGTATTATAAACTCTGCCCAGTACAAAAGAGCAAACCCATAAATTATTATTTGACTCTTGCCTTTCAAGGTTTTATTCTGTCCCCTGTTCATAAGTGTAACAACTATGCTATAAAATTTTCCATCACCAGGAAACATTGATCTATATTTCAACAGATCTTCCCATTACCACAGACATTGTAAACATAAATTGCGCAAACATTTCCATTAACTTTGCACTGAGTTATCAAACAGGAAATAAACCCTTGTTTTTAGGTACCAAACCAGACATTTCTGATAGGTATTTAATGTGTGCAATAAATGTACTAAAGAGCTCCCCATTTGCAGAAAATTATTCTAGATTTCTTTTCAGACATCACAGCGGTGTTTCAGTGCAAAATGGCATGTAATTGTAAAATTTCATAGGCACAATATAAATCTGGTAGAGCTGATTCTCTGCTGTCTTCTTCCCCCTGTAATAATTAGTAAGAACAGTCATATTTTATATCCACCTTGCACAGGTTTGAATGACTGCTCAAGGTGCAAGAGATACTCTGTGTTCTCATTTGAATGCAAACTGAAATTGCATCATGATTTATTTTAGAGATTTTGTTGGTCCTGGGGGAATTAAAGACTTTCCTGAGGAAACAAGTCGCTGGCCACTCATGGAGATTTGCCAAAGAGACTGTGCAGCAGATAAATGATTAAGGTATAAAAGGAGAAAGACTAAGAAAGAACAAAAGTAGTAAGGACGTAGAAAATCTGGGTGGGTTGTTTGTATTGGTGTTCACTATTGAGGCAGTAATTTG